TGTTCTCCGAGGACCTTACGAAAAAGTTGCGACCGAGCAATTCATTCGAGAGTCGGCGGGCTTACCGCGAGATAATAAATCGCACGGCGCGGCACGACGCGGCGCGTCGTTTGCCTTTATTGCTCCTCGGTAAGTCGCGCGCGAAAAAGTAGCGCCACGAGTTTTGGGCACGTGCAAGCGCCGCGATTGCAGGTACTTACGTCGGCGATCGCGTTCTCGCCACATCGATCGTGTATTTTCTGAATTGCCTTCGCTGCAAGTGCTTTCCTTGAACGTGAAAATCGTATGCCAGGTGTGCCGAGAAGTAGCAATAAATGTGTTAAAATATCGATGTTATTAAGAAGAATAATAGACTTCGGTAAGAATTATAATATATCACTTTATCACACTTAATAATGCATAGTATTATATTTTTCTTACTGACAGACATTATTGGATTTTGTTATTTTTGTAAGTTTTGAAAGCTTCAGGTACGCATTATTTATACTGTTCTCAATGAATTTTGCAGAATTTCAATGAAACATGATTTTGATACGCTTAGCATTTTCACAACCGCTGACAGAGGAATACGTGTTCAAATTCGTCCGCAGCAGGTCGCTGAGCTGTTAACAATTGTTAAAAAATAAAAAAAAGGGATCGAAAAGCAATGTCAAGTTTCGGCCACAACAATGTTTCTCTCGCAAATGCTTGAAAAATAGATGAAAATACTGAACATCGACCAAGCGCGTTTATGGGAAGTAATGGAAAAAAAAACGAGTTTAACGGTACGTTTGTGACCCAATTTCCATTTAACATTTTAAAGCGTTGGCGACTCTTTTAACTTCATTACAAGGTCGGTATTTAATTAACAGGAAAAAGAAATGTTGAATAGTTTCGCCGCAGTTAACCCCGAACTTGCCGATGTAGACCGATGTAAGAACCGCGAGCAAGTCGGTTGACTCTTAAAATGTCCACGGACCGAACGTTTGAAAAAGAACTTTATAAATGCTTTAGCAATTGTACCTACACTATGCCATGCTGTCGCACACCTTGAATTTTATACATAAAACTGCACGTTTGCGGTCTTTCAATAACCAGAAAACCACACTGGCGCAGTTCTGCAAACCAACATGAAAGTGCGCAAATCAAAATTTTCTTTTGCCTCTTTTTGTCGAAGCTTTTTGGAATGCACTGTTGGCATCAGGGAATGTGTTGCTCGGTATGTCAATATGACCTCGCGGAAAAGATGATTTTGCGTCACATCTATATATATATATTTCGAGGACTTTTGATATATAAAAAAAATATAACACGAATATTCTTACGCTCCAGATACGTATGTGTGCATGTAGATGTAACCGAAGTTCAATCTCGCGACTACCAAGCAAACGCTGGTGAATTAATTTCGCTCTTCTTTCTCGAACTAATTGGATGTTCCTGAAATATTTACATTATTCTCGCGATTCGAAATGTCGGGATTACGAAAATACGCGGAATTAGCGGACGATCTATCGAGAAAAGTTGCTGCCACCGTGCTGTTCTTTTCCCATTTCCTCCAATGAATTTCCTTCGTCGTCTCGCACCCGCCGTCCCTATCCGGCCGAGTCAATTTAATTCTGATTAATTACGTTTTAATTAATACAAACGCGTTCTCTGAACAATCTTAGGCTGAGTCTGCGGATCGGGGGAGATTTGCGAATGATGCGTCGTCTTTTTGTGCTTACTACTGCGCTTTTATCTCGGATGAAATCGAGGCACGGTCGTCTCGGAAATCCGAGCGAGAAAGACGAGTGACTCTTCAATCCGGGGGGATCGGGTTTTTCTCTGTCATAGCGAATTAATGGAAAATAATGGCCGGCAACGGTGAATCGCGGTTGAGGAATCTCGTTATTTCTGTCGGAGCACCGTCGTTCATATTTATTTCTGACGGGCTGTTTCGGTACAACTATTCAGAATTCTTCTCGATAATTGCTTGAAGTCGACGATTACAAGTGTCTCACCTTGTGTTGTTTATGCTATTTCTACCGTGGTCGTTAAGACAAGAGCCGTATATTTGTTAAAATTGTCATTTTATTAAAAAGTCAAAGGCATTCGGACGCACCGCTTCATATCACGGTAATTGCACGGGCGCGCTTTCAAGATTTCGTTTCCCCTTTCTCGTATTAGCGAATTTCTTCACAAAGCTTGTAGATAAAATCATGTTATAACAATATTCAAAAGGCTCCGAGCCGCAGCGATAATTGTTCATAGCGGATGTCCGCGCTCTTTCGCTCGGGAGGCAGCTGATCTCCTTTATCTCGACGACGGCGACGCGGTCGATTATCAGAAGAAAACGCATGCGGCAATCTGCTCTTACCTCGAGATTTCTCGAGGGCGGAGAAACGCGGAAAAACATTTTCACAAAGAAACTCATCGTCTTGCAGCTGCAGGTAACGTCGGCGGTCCGCTACGGTGCCTCCCCAAGATAATGTTAATATCCAGCTCGGTTTTGTAATTGGCAATTATTTTAGCTTACTCCGCTCTTTGTTCTCCGACGTTATCCCGGCGACGGTGCTTGCTCGGATTCCCCGAAGAATCCTCGAATGTGGCTGCAGCTGCGCCCTTTACGCAATCACTTCGAAGCTAAGTCGCCGCTGCCGCCGTCGACTCGTATCCCTGGCGGCCTGGAACTTCTCTTAACGCGAAACGTACGTTCCATTTCCCGTGGAATCTCTTGTTACCACCGGACGCTGCGAAAATTCGGGATCGAAATTTTCCACCGACTAGCTTACTCTCATTTCGCAGCTCACGGCGGCAACGCGACGAATATTTTTGCAGACATTATCGCGAGCGCGGCGGCGGCGGCGGCGTCGGCGTGAACGCGATGTTCGTTCGTTTGCGAGCAACGTGTGTCCACAAAAGAAGACTGATAATTTAAAGCGGCATCGGGATCACGACGGGCGCGTTTTAGCGGTAAACGCGAGGCGTGGCTTCCGGACTTTCACGTTACGGCGCGCGCTATCGAGGACAGGCATAAATCGCGGCCCTCGACCGGCCGTCGCCGAACGAGCACGTGTAAGCGCGCTCCCCGTACATCCCAGATCTCGGCGTACGCGCACAAAAGCGAAAGGTTATTAACGAGCCTAGATTAAACCTGATAACACGCCGCGGTGGGTATCTTTTGGCTCATGGCGATGCACGAGGCGCTCTTTGCCAGTGGTGCGCGCACCATCGCCGCCTCTCTCGTTATCCATTTTCGCCGTTAACGTTTAATGCATTCCCCAAGCGGGCGCGCACCCCGTGCCAGTCGCAAGCCTCGGCTCCACAAATTTTGCAAAACACCGATATAAATCGTTTGATAACGCGCATGGCCCTGGGCGTCGATATATAGAACGCGGGAGTCGACGGCAGCCAGGTGTGGGGCAGGATGCGGGGGGTGGCGGTGGGGAGGGGGGGAGGGGGTGAAGGGTGCAGGAAACGGGAAAGAGAAAGAGGACGGGTCCGCTCTGGAAATTTGGCGATGCGCCAGGCGCACCGACGACGCTGCAAAGTGCGCACTCTCACACCAGCCGTTGCATCGCGTCGTTCGGCTGACCGAACGTGTTGGATGACGTAGCCGATATCGCTAATTGCAAAAACTACTACCGCGGAACATCGCCCGCGGTATCCGCACTGGACTTTTTAACCCGCGCGCGTCGGGCCGGTTTTGAATTCGATACTATCGCGGGTAATTTAGACGTTTCTTTTAACGCGAAACCGCAACGCCAGCGATGTTGCCATCGCTCGTTGACGCGCGGCTTTGCATGAAAACTTTTCTAATATCTATCCGCGTCGAGCGTGTTTTTTAACTACCATTTGCTGTGCACACGACGATGTACCGTGAATATTCCGACGTCACTTTCAATTAATATGGATATTCGGAAAAAATGCGCGGAGATATATAATACAAAGATATTAAAAAAATTTCAATCCGTGAAAATTCATATCGCAATGCGATAGAAAAATATGAATGTATTGCAAGGCGTATTGGATTTATTCAAACGAATAGTAATATATTTTTAAAGGAAATATCAAATAAAGCAGCGTCGCGACTAAACGTTAAAATCAATTCGCGCGTCGTTATATCGACTAAGAATTTTAATTTCCACCGGCTGAGAATTCGCGGTGAGACTCCGTCAAGAAACGTTCCTAAGGTCTGTGCAGCGACGCGGACACTCACGGCAATTAAGCATTTCTCCTCTACAGGAGATCCACAAACTCGACGAGAAAAAACTAAATAAATAGAGGACCACGGTAGTTCTCTTGCACGAAACAGGCCGCGAAGGACGAGGTCGATGTGGATACGCGGCGGTTGGTAGTGCCAGGAAGCTTGTGCAAACACAAAAGCTCACGGCTGAAGATAAACAGTGAGACTGTAAGCTGCAACATACCTTCGGGCATTGCGCGGCGAGGGTAGGATAGAGATGGGAAGAACAGCCGCTCGGAGGGAGAGAAATACACGGATGTTGCGAGGTTGTGTGCCCCTTTCGAAGCGACCGGAGGAATAAGACGCGCGGAGAAAAGCCACCTATAACGTTGACACCTATACCCTAACCGTCGAAGGCGCCCTCTGCCTCTCCCAAGGAGGTCCTCCGTAAACTTACGACATTAGACCGTCTGCGGAATAAACTCTCCTTTTAACGGCGAAAGTATACACCGCGCGTAATCCACTTTGTTTCTTTGCTGCGGCTCGCGCGACATTTTTTCGTGACACGGGAACGTGTCCTCGACATGTCGTGAATCTTTTCAAGTCACGAGTTTGCATTGTGCCATTGCGAGTTTTTCTCGAACGTTTGCCGAAAGCAACGCTGTTGCTCGCACAAAATAAGAAACGCGTTCTTGGATTTTTCAACACGCAATGTGTGAATATTGTGAGAGAAATGTCTTGTCACAAACATATCTTTCAAATTTGTAATTGCAATGTTTTCAGCAAAACAATATTTGAACAGGTTCGAATAACCTATTTAGCTTCGCAAAATAGATAATAATATTTCAAATCTTACCTGTTGTGATTCCCGTTGGATAAGTCAGAAATCGTCCTGCAACAAACAGAAATAGTTTTGTTAATTAATTGTTGTTAATGTACGAACTAGGTACGAATGATAATAAATGTAATTATGCCATTTCATTGGATTGGAAATAATAATATAATTAAATTCATTAATCGAGCTGACTTTCCGTTTTGATATCGTAATATGCGAAATAAGCGAGATATAATGATATTAACCGCAAATTGTGCAATTTTTAACGCTTCGTCACGCTTAGAGTATCGAAATAGCTCTTAAGAGAAATTGCATCTGCTTGCATTGATATACGATTTTAATTTATAGTAATTTAAATAGCTCGGAGCAGGGATATAGGTAAGAGTATATTTTGGAGCAGCTAATCTAGCTTCATGTCTTAACTTGTAACTAGGTTAATGGACGCGTGCTCATCACCTGTGACAGAGGTTTGCACTTCAAAATTACGTGACGTGGCTTACGCTCTCGCTGCGTGTTCTCGGACGCGTCGGTCATTACTTGCAGCAACGAGTGCTCGATCGCACGAGGAATAATTAATTCAAGCAATGTCGTTAAAAGTACGGTGAAAGTTAAAACACGCTAAATGACGCGTTTATCATGGTAAGCGCGTTAAAGCGACACTCTCGCCGCCATGAATAAACTCGTACGAGTGCTACATGCAATTACGGAATTAAATAAAACACGTGATCTCATTAGAGAATCGTCATAAGTCATGTATAAACCTAGTCCATTTTGTTTACGTTTTGTTATGACAGGATAAAATAATTAATGACAATTAATCGATACGCTGGCGTGCATGGAAAAAATTAAAAAAAAAGAAACAAAAAAAAGAGATGTATAACTCTTATGCCATCAAATGATAGTGTCAAATGATTACCCGTCGATATTATCACGAGCGTATCTCCAGAGACCTGCATGTGTCGGGTTCGTGTATATAATTTATTATCACTTCGCGTTACTAAAATGCCTTTACTGATTCATTCGCAGACGCATAAAAACCACGCCGCCATACATTACTCCGCGGAGACCCTTGTATCCACTTTACGCACACACAATCAACCGCGCTATAAAGCGCGCCTCAACCTAGCAATATTTTTCCCTCCACTTCCGCATTTTACAACTTTGAGCATGAATATAAGAGGTAACGGAAGTCTTGGAAACTTCATCACTATATTCTCTCATCAACTTGTTATCTCATCAAGCATTTTACGACACTGTGTCTCAATTTTTCTGTATTACTTCTCGCAAATTTACCAATTCCAGCGGTTGCGAACGTAATTATATTGTAGATTTTTACTGTTCCGCGATATCCAAGAGATCTGTGAGTGATTCGGAATAAAACATCCCGCATTCCTCATTTCAATATGATTGTATGACTTTACGGACGGAGCTTTCGGCATTGTGTGTGAAGTGGCGTATACAGATATAAATAAATTTCGTTCGTAGCATTCAGCGGGGGCCAAGAAGTCCAAAGCTAACTGAAGTTGTACCGAGTTCGAAACTTGCTCCGCGAGGCACAGAAAGCAGTAAGATCTTGCACAATGCGTTACAGGGTGTAGAGCTCCCTTGTTAAAGATTAGCACGATTCTAGAAAAGCTCCTCGAGAGTGAATGAAAGACACGAACGGGGATATTGTTTTCTTGTCGCGTGCTTCAAACTAACTTTGAGTGGGTAACAAAGATACAGCAGAGTGGAAGCAGGATCGCTAAGGAACGGACGAAGATTCTGACTGCGGTAAAGAGTGAAAGAGTGAGAGGAAAAGAAAGGAGGAGGAGGGAGGGGGGGCTTTATTTAATAGGAACGAATATTATAAAAAATATATGATGTATTTTAGATATGGTTGAAAGTTATAGTGAATAGTATTTTTACACACAAATATTTTATATTACATGAAATGATCCAACTATTTTTTGACAGAAAAAAGTTTGTTCTTATAATATCTGATGAATAAGAAATACACAAGATCTATGCTGGTAAGAATCGGATAAGCTTTATATAATGGATAGGATTTTATCCTATATATTTTAAGCTTAATACAATATTTTAGAGATTGTTCGCTAACAATATGTTAATCTCTTCATTAAAATATTTGATAAATTTTTGCAAAAATGAATGGAACGCGTAATAAAATCCGTATTTCGCATAAAAAATGAATTAATATAACAGAATGTCACGATTTTTGTAAAATTTTTCAATATCTATGGCGTGAGTTTCATGCGAATGTTATTTGTTTAAATTGTTTTATAAATTATTTATGATATGTTAATCATTTCGTATGTATCATAATTTTTTTGTTAGCTTTTATAATTATCTAACAACATATTTCATAACGTGTACATATATTATTGCAGAAAGAATAATTGACGTAGATATTCATTTAGTAACAACATTGATCGCGCGGCCTGTAATTGCGAATACAAACGCCCCATTTATTTTTACGTGTTACGTTATACGCGCACATCTTTTTCTGCCGATGCAGCGTGTACTGCAAATCACCCTGTTCGAGCAATTAATTGGGTCAAAATCATTATCGGTCTCTTCACTGATATAATTAATGATCACGACTTTGAGCAGTTAACTTCAATTACTGGATCTGCACCGCGTTCATTATTACACTTACTAACTGTACGCACACATACGTCTAGACGTAATCCCGTTAATATTAGAAGGTGATGTTAGAATTACGGCGCACTATTATTTAAGCTACTATAGAAACCATGTAATTCTATGGATATAACTTGTAATATGAAGTACTAATCTTATAGCTGGCGTAAAAGAGAAAATTTGTCAAGAAACTATGCAAAAGCATTTGTGAGTTATTTCTAGATGAAACCCAGTTTCGAAGTCGTAGATAATTTTATTTGACAAATAAACGTCTAAAGTAGAGGCTTTGAATTATCGTATTGCACATATTGTTGAATATTTTTTTTATCAATGGAAATAAATCAATAGAGATGTGCAATTGTGTGGAACAAATTTGTTTCTCAACGGGGGAAGACGGAGGGAGGTATAGCATAGGTGTATGCTTCAGAATTTAATAAAGTTAGAATAGCACGAGAACAGTACAAAACGATCGGAATAAAATGATTTTCCACCAGAGCTAGTCCGGGAAATTCCACGGTATAGCAGTCAGATTGCATGTAAAAAGTACGAGACACGTGTCTATAAAGATGAATATTAAATACTGCGACAATCGATAAAACTAAACGTATTGTTTTCTAAAAACTGAAAAATACTTTCAATATGTATGCTTATTTCGCGACTCGTTGAATTTACAAGCGTTTTATCGTCAAGAGAAAAACGAGAAATTTAAGCAATAACACGCTTAACACAAATATCAATAAATATGAGATATCCCACTTATATTCGTCGTTCGGAGAATTTTGTTGCTCAGGTTGCATTCGGACGGCAATTACTCGGAAAATACGTTTATTCTTCTCGGAGTTGCGTCGTCTTCGTCGATGTAGTCAGAATGTAGCGCGTTCTACATACAAAATAATCTTGTCCCGGGAACATTCCGGCATGCGGTATACTAAGCATGGCAGACCCCTTTACCAGAAACTCGACGAGTGCGAAGGCTGGGTTTCGTTCGCGGTGGGTGGAAAACGGGATGAGTCCCCAACAACTTGAACAACTTCACAATAGCCCCGGCCTTTGCACGCCGCTCGCGGAATAAACTTTGCCCGAGTAACTTGAAAATTGATGATCACTCCGCCGACACACAAGTAAGTGTAAACAAGACAGAAGTACGACGGCTGTCAATGACAGTTTATCGGCGCGGTTTCATGCGCATTCAACGTTGCGCGGATAAGCGAGGGATTATCATTATCGCGCGTATGCGAGTTTCCACTCACTTCCGACCGGCGCAGTGTTTAGCAAAATCTCATGAAAGAGAGAGAGAGCGACAAAAAAGAGAAAAAGGACTCTTTTGTGTACACAGACTCTTCGCGATGCTCGAGGACACTCTTCCGCAGAACGGAACCAGCGTATACGGCAGCTAGAAACTACTGTCGATACCGTCAGCTGAATCACCAGCAAGAAAATTTCAGTTCTGTCCGAACTAGCAGCCGGACTATCGGGCGACAATGTTCCCTGAATTTGGTTTGGTTCTATTGTTGCGAAAAGAGCGTGCCTCGCTGTGCTGCTTAGATGCAAAAACATGTGCATTTTCAATAGAATCGCACGTCTGAATCAAAGAGTTTGGAATTCGGAATGGACGGTCATGTGAGCTGGTATGTAAATGTATCCTTTCTGTTTGCTGTGTTACACAGATGACACGGAAAAATTGTAGAAGCGATCGTACGTGGAAGCGCGTTTGATGCCGCGTTTTTGCTGCAACGTGTTTGAAACGCGAAAATGTTAAAGGAAAATTAAATATTAACTGTTGGATGGATTTATCATTTACATAAAGCAGAGAAGCTTATTGTGCAATCCGCGATTTTGCCGTTCTCGTTAATTTGACATAGTGTAGGAAAATCGATATCAATTGAGATAAATTAAGTTCAAAGATTTCTCGTAAATGAAAATATCTAAGAATAGCTATTAAATGCATTATAATTGAAGATAATATCAAATTTAATAATGAATTGTGAAAAAGAAAGATCAATATTAACCTAGCTCGCTAGAGATTCTGTTTGCCGTATTTATATTTCATTGATAAAATGCGACTCAAAATGTCCTAATTGCGTGAATGAATCCAACGACAAATTTATATAACTTTTTACAATTATTACGAGAATAAATAACGCGGAAAGCAGGAAAATGATGAAGCATTGTTATTTAATATTGCGTGAAAATGAAAAAGTAACATTTCTATACGTTATCATATACTTATTAAATTGCGTAGCATTAAAAGTTCATCAGTGTAAGCTACTTTTGGTTTAATTACAGCTATTTTCGCGCGGAGAGAGTGGTTACTAAAAGTCAGCATGAACGTACGTCAAACCGAACGAATGCACTGTAATTTAAATTACCTATTTCAGGCTGTTAGCCTGGTTTGCTTTTCTTCCGCTTTGATT